CGTTGAATATTATTTCTGATTTTAACTTTATACACAAGTGCCAAAATACTATAATTACATTTTCAATTCTTATGAAATGCTTACTGAAAAGCATTTTTTTTTTCTTCAAAGTATAATAGGAATAAACTTTGTAGTTTTGTTAAATATATAATTCAGGTTTTCTTTATTTGGAAATACTGGGTCATTATACGGTTCCCTTTAGTAAAGAAAACAAACTTTCAGATCAACTTTTGTTAACTACTCTGCTGTCATTCTACTGGTAAAACTTACAAAACAATCAGATCAATTTTGTTAACTATTTCTGCTGTCAATCTACTGGTAAAACTTACAAAATAATCATATCAACTTTTGTTAACTACAGACTTTCAGATACATTTTTTTAACTATCTCTGCTGTCAATCTACTGGAAAAACTTGCAAAACAGTCAGAGCATATTCAGTGACTTATGAGTCATAGAAACCACTAGTATTATTGGGGTATACGCGTAGAAATGAACACGTTTGTTGTAAAGTTGAATACAAAAACAGCTCAACTTTAGAAGTCCAAAGAAGTTATTAATGTGAAATTGTTTAAAAATATAACGGGTGGTGTTAATTCGTTTTTCCCATTGCAAATTGTTCGTGAATTATAAAATATCAATCTATTTTTGAATTCTGTAAAATAATTTTTAAGAATTTATTCAAATTTGATCTAAGCTAGCTGCTTAAAATTCACGTAAAGGTGTGTAGCGTTTATTTACGGAAACATCCGAGACAGATAATCTTTAAATTTATTACCTACATTGTCTCTGCTATTTAATCAATCAATTACTATTATTATTATTCTATCTCGCCTCTCTTCCCAGCCCACTCCTAAAGGCTTTAAATAAACCTTCTTATCTTTTAAAATAATTCTACGAATGTGTTTAATAAAATTTAATATTATATGTACTGCTTCTTTTTATTACTTCACTTCACACATAATATAGGGGTTCGCTCCCTAAAAACACCGATTGTATACTGTACAAAGCATTGGGCATTTACATATTACACTCATCTAATGTTCGTCTACTATTGACTGATAATTCCTGTACTTGAGCTTTTTAAAGGTATTTGTAGGAAAGCTAACTTCAAGGGATAATGATAACATCATTTACACCAGAATTATGTTTTTAGTTTATGTAAAATATAGAAGAAACAAATCGGTTTTTCAATATCCCTTCGACCTTCGCAGTACCTCATTTAGTATTCTACAAAAGGTTTAGGTGCAATATACCAAGCCATTTTTGTTGTAGGCTAGTAAGAGAATAATAATAATTACAAACGGGCCGTTTTAAGTGGATTTTCTTTCCCTTGTAAGTCTAATATGCGTGCTTTTTTTATATGTATACAGCCGTACGCAGTAAATGTTTTAAAGTGTTGTTTGAACAGAATCTCTTTTGTTTAAGGTGCTTTTTGCCCGAACATTCTATTACGGTTTTGTCACCTCGCAATCCCTATTATGAACCATTATCGTTGTTAATGATAAACAAGGGTGACAAAAATGAACAAACAATATTGACAGACTTTGTGATTTAAGTTTACAACGGAATACTTAGTGGTTCCGTTGTTAAACTCCAGCATTCTTCGATAATTTCTTCTGATAACTTTTGTGAATATTTCGGTTCTAACAATATTTGATTATTTACGGAATTGTTTTGGTGGGACATATAAGTGAACACTCTAAAGAATATTTCCACAATTCTAAGTGAATGTTGTCAAAGTAATATATATTCGGGGTAAGAATTTTTTGACACATAAATTAACCATCCGTTGCACAGAAAGTTGCATGTGTGAATACTTCCTATTGTCAATCCCAAAATATCTGCTGAGCGTAATATTTCCTAAATGTCCATGTTTAAGTTAAGCATTCATAGCTTGTTATGGAGTTAAACAATTTTTTTCAACATATGTGCATGACCACTAATATTCTTGAAAATATATGATTTTAGTTCAAGGCTGTACTTGGTAGACATCGGAAAATGTTTAAAACATCATCACTCACGGCACGAGATTCCTCTTTCATAAATAACAAAATTAAAAAAATGGCGGTTCAACGAACATTTATTACCCTTGCCTTGATATGAAAGAGTATCCAACAACAAATAATGACTGAAAGTTAAATTTAATTTAAACATCCATTAACAACAGACGTGTTTTGATCAATACCAGAGTCCATCAGGCCGGCTGGAATACGACATAGTAGTAGTAGTGGGAACGCTATTTCTTAGAATTGCTTTGGCGTAGATATCTCTTGCTGACAAAGTATAATCATAATAAATTATATATATTTTATAAGGCAATAGTATTAGGCTTATTGTATTTTTAAACAGTTTAATCGGTCCCTTAGAGTTTTCCGTAAAGATGAACGTATAATAGTATTTCAACGAAAAAGTCCACCACATCCATTACCAAAGAAGCGTTCATAATGGGATCTCATCTGTGACAACTTCAAAAATAGTAACAGAATCATTAGAGCAAATTAATATTTTTTTATTATTATTTATTTAATTTTTGAGAATTTTTCTTTTTTAATTTAGATTATTTATGTTTACTTAAAAAAAACAACGGTATTTGAATGTTTTTGCCATAGGTTCTGAGTAAAATTATATCCTGAAGTGACCTTTGAAGTCATGAAAGAGTTGAAGAAATTAATAAATGAGAGGGGGAAAATAAGTCTGATATTTCCAGTGTTTTATCATTCGTATCCACAAGGGAACCTCATTAGTGTTTTGGTTATATATTTCTTTGACTTACATAATCTATAGAAGAAAGACTTGGCATTGACACCATTGTAGTTTGTGTTATTAAAAAGTACCTTACTAGTGAATGCTATGGGGTATAAACCCTTTAGCTCAGCTTACATACAAAAGGTCTTGGATTTGAATCTGAACTGAGGAAGTAAAAAAAATTAGATTATGACAGAAATAATTGGCATTGAAATACTGGTTGTCCTAAGATAAGTAGAAGATGTGCCTTGTTTATGATGGGAAAGTTGCTAAGTAATAAGCTGTTACGTGTGCGACACTTTGGCTCAGTTGGAAGAGCACTCCATTTTCTGTGCATGAGATCATATTCAAGTTGAGACCTACTAACCAATGATGTAAAACAGGATTATTACAACTCTACCATACATTTAATTTAGAAGTTTTTTTTGTGGATGATGTCTGGAAATCAGAAGTTCATAATCAATCAAGCACTATAAACTACAAGATTTAATGCCTCATAAATAGCATTTCAGTTGAGATTTTGTGCATTGAAATCCAGTTTGAGCTCTGATATTGAGTGAAAAGCCTCATCAGCATGGCATACAACAGATAGCTGTTACTTATGTATTTTTCATATTAGAAGCCCATATTAGAGTTATAAAGAAGGATATGATTAAAGCTATTAACGGTCTCACTGTAAAGTAATACAGAAGGTTGAGTATTTCATATTAAAACTATTTTTGATATTCAAATCAGTAAGTCACGTGACAACCACAGCTGATATAGAGTTGTGGTGAAATGGTATGTATCAAAACTACATGTTGATATTGTTTGGCATTTTATGGGTAATGTAACACCACCAAAAATTGATCACTTTGGGGAAGGGTATGTAACAGCTCTTTCTAATGCAAAATATTTATACACTCAGGTCATAAATATGTTTCAAATCAGGGATTTAGCATTTTCAAAACGGGGATAGCCATTATATTTAATGGCACTGGAAAACAAAGGAATATGGATCAATTTATGGAACTAGGACCATTAAAATAAAAACGAAGTCTGTAAAATATTCTACTACAACCATGGTGAGCAAAGTGTGGTGTTCGTAACAGGTAAGTATTCACAAACACAAATAAATGAGGCCAACAGTGTATGGGTTTACCAAGATAAGGCTTCTGGTCACACCTCCTGTTCAACTGTTGCATACATCAAGCAAATGGAGAATGAAATGGGTATTCGTGCTGTTCTATACGAAGATATACCAGTCAAGTTGTTGGATGCAATGCCTATAGATTGGGGCGATCGGACTGTTGAAGTAGGTGCTGCAAAACCATTGCCTTCATACACTAAACTAATTATAGAAAGCCTATTGGGAGGAGTGATAGGCTTTAAACATGACAGCCTTATGACAGAGCTTTTAGCAATGGAAACTATGTAGCAGGCCTATTATAAAGATGCAATGTCATCAGACAGAGCATGACTAAAAGTGACGAGATGGACTGTAATGAAGGCTCCAAAATTGTTTCAATAAAATGTACTCAAACCTCTGTTTTCAACTGTTACAAACTAGTTTAAATATTGTAAAGAGAATAAGACAAAGTAAGAAAAGGAAGTGGAAAAGAAACTGTGGAGTACATTTTTATTATGTCATACAACTTTCTGTTTATTGCCTTCTTGTGCAAAATACATTATATTTGAATATATTATTTTTATCAGTGACTGGCAGTTGTGACACTAAAATATTGATTTATTTGTCACTAGTTAAATGTGAAAGAAAATTTCTGTAAGATTGTCTATGTTAAGTCAAATTTGAAGCAACGTACTTTTTACTTGAACTTAATTTTTTCACTGTAAATACCAAATCTTCCTAAGCATTAAAGATCAAGACCAAATATTCATAATTTTAATTAACTGTTTAGTTAAACATTAAAAATATTTATAAGTCCAAAAGTATTTGTTGAAACATGTGTTTGAGTCAGAAAATTATTTTTCTTACTGTATGCTCCTGAAAGTAGTTTTCTTAAATATTCATGCTGCAAAGCTTAAAACTTATTAATATGGTACCATCCAGGCCCAGCTATTTTTCTAAGGTATGAGTCTCACTTTAACTATTCAAAAATGTATATTGCACAAGACCTGATCTGGCTGTATTAAGTGCATTATTAATTTGATAATATCATTAGTTTTGAAAACTACTCAACTCTTAAATATATTTCCATACAATAGTAGTATTAGTAGTTTAATACGTAGAACTAACCAGAAGCCAAGAATGTAATACAAACTGATAAAGTTTAAATCAAGTGTAGTTTACATGAGAAAGAGAATAAATCAAAAATATTATTTAGTTGGGTACACATATCTCTATGTCAAATAATTACTAACTAGTTGATTGTTTTTCAAAATCACCATTAGGTGGAGGAACATTTATAAAAGCTGCCACAGATCTTAATCCCATTGTTTTTGCAGTAAAGAAGTTTAGTTTTGTATGATAAGAGTCTATTTTAGTTGATGAGAGAGAAACAGAACATTTTTACAATTACTTGTACAAATATAAATCCCTAATTAAATATCTATTGTAATCAGAAACCAGAGTTAAAGGTTTATTGTCAGAAACTGTAAGGTATGTAAACTTATTTCATTAAACATTTGGCAAATAATGACATATATATCAGTCATGAAAAACTGGAGTTTGTAAGTGGACAGAATTCCCCACAGACCCTATGTATCTCGTGATTGATTTATATATACTATACAACAGAAACAGACTGAAAAATCCATCATTTCCACTAACATTAGACTTTGATTATTATGGATTTTTCCATCCCCATCTACCAGATGGTTAAGCAATTTGATCTTAAAAGTAATCTTAATATTAAAGATATAATTACGTGCCTCCCAGCAGTGTCTGCTTCTGCCAGTCTTTAAAATAAAAGCTAAATTTTACAAATTACAAGCTGAAAGTGACTTTAATACATGTATGTTATTTATAGCAAAATCTCTCTTGCAAAGGTGCTATATTATAACAGATTAAGTCCTAATGTATTTCAAACATAGCTGTTTCCAACCTTCTACTTCATAATTGATAATCTCTATTATCTGGAAACTGAGAATGTTCATGAGCCATTGGCGACAATTATTGTCTGTTTTAGGGCACATGTATGACAGCTAAAATTAAGAACTAAATTTTATATGTTAAATAAAAACCAAACAAATCTTCTTTCTGTAAATATAAATTTTTTACAGGCTGAGGAATAAAAAACATCATGCTGTTATGAGCTATTACAAGATCTTTGAGCAATTATACATGTTTTAAAAAGAGTTGTTTCTGAAAAAAAATAAGGTTTTTAAAGGCTTGCCGAGAGACCAGTAATTACTTCTAAGTTAATCATTGTAATTTAAATTTATATATAATTTTTTCTTGTAATTGTAAGCCAGATTGTTTTCTGGATAGTAATAAATACTTTTCTATATAACTGCTGACAGGAATTAAATTGTATACTATATAATCTGTGAAAAAATTACAAACTTTTTACTACACAATTTTTGGAAGAACTCTAACTTGTTACTATATAACCTTTGAAATAAGTAAATTTGTTCACTGTATGACACCAGAAAGATGTCAAACTCCTTAGGTTATAATTCAAACAGAGATCTGAAAGTATCACAGTCAAAACATTTAAATTATGATTTCTAATACAAATAATATTTCAATAAAAGAACTTAAAACAGTAAACATAGTTTCTGTATAAAAAAATTAACTACATGATATTTGATAGATGTCATTGGGATATTGACATGCCATTCCAACTTTGTTTTACAATCCCAGAAAGAAGTGAACTTTTATAAGACCCCCCAGACAGAAATCAGTGAAAGCAAGTTTTATTAGTTATTGAAGTTACTTAAGTCATTGATCACCAATTAAAAAACTGAGTCCTGTTTATTTAAGTAAAGATACTTACAAACAATAACCAAGTTAAATTTAAATATTCAGGCAGAAGCTCCCTTTCTTCAACATACTGAAACAAGATTTGTCTTAATTCACATAAACACACAATTTTGCTTTTTACAGGTTGTTTAATAAACAATGACATAAATACTTACTGACCATAGATATGGTCTTTATTTTCTTGCATGCTGATAAACAGCAAAGTTTTTTTTTGTCTCTGACAAAAACTTATAACATGACAGAATATGAAGTATATGAAAGAGTAAAGCAACTTGTTTGCTTGTAAAAACTCTATGCTCTTGGGCAAAGCTTCACAAATCTTAAGTTCAATATAGTATTAAAAATCATTAGAATATTTTTGATTACTCAGTGGATGATTTTCATGATGAAATAAATATGAGTAAAAAATAATATGAAAAAAATACGTATATATAAATAAACTAATAAATTTGTATCATAATAATATTAAAAAGGTCAAATTTTATGCTTTCCTTTTCTTATCCAGCATAAAATACTTGAAGCTTCGGAATGCTATGTAATGTTACAGAGGTAGCTGCTGCTCCTTCGGTGCTGAAAACAAGGATACCAAAAATTATTGCATTGTCAATAACACTACTACCTTACGTTTTCTTTTCCCAGAGTAATTAGACAACGTACACCAAATCAAAGATATATTTATAAATTGTACTATAATAAAACTTCCTAGTACCTGGCAAGACATCTCAAATGTGATAACAAAAAAAAACTTGTAAGATTAAATGTAGAAGAATGCCTGAAATCATTAATGTGTCATAAATTATTTCTCAGATGATACTTGACAAATTCAATTATTCACTTAAGGGCTGCAACCTATATTTAATGCATTTTTTAAAACTAACGTCCCATCCAACCTTTTATACCTGGTATTACAAGTGCTGATAATATCTTCAACATACGAGTTAATTGTAAAAGATAAGTAAACTTCACATAACAAGATACACTCAAGTAATAACACTAAATAAAACTTAGAGAACATTTCTGTCAAATACTTTGTATAAAGTATACAAAGATTTTTCAATACATGATGTGCAACAACAAAAAAAATATGCAATAAACAAGAACTATATACAATCCTTTTTGGTAACATTAAAACGCTCTACAGGAATTATTCTTCCAAAATAAAGGAATAAACATGCTATTCTATAAACATCAACAATCTACATTTTCAAGACTGCCTAGGACAAGGAGCCTAAAGTCAACACAATGGTTCATTCAACCCATTTCAGTATATTTCCTGACAGATTGCAAACTGGTAATGACAACACAGTTTGTGAGTCAACATTAGAACATATACAACTAGGGCAGCGTATAATTAATATAATTTTACTGATGTCTATTTAATTCTACAACAGAGTTAATATTAAAGTGTCACATCAGTGAAGATAATTTCAATGAAATACTAGGAACATACAATAAATATGAATAGAATGGATTTCAATAGGATATTTTTGTTTCTAACACAACTGAATAGAAGTTTATGACTAAGACACCAATGTTCTATTTCTTAAAAAATCTTAAAAGAACCACATTATATACCAATTACAAATATTATTAATATGAATAATGCTGATGAACTAAAACTATTTAATATCATGAAATTCTGCTACCCAAAATGTAATAAGAATTTATAAAAAGTTACTTGCCAATAAACTCAGATTTCTCATTCATATTGCTTGCTAATGTTTCTTGAATATATTTGACAAGTAAACTACCTTTGATTATATTCAGTAGCCCAAAAAATATGATAGAACAAAGTACTAGCATGAAACTAAATTTGTTTGTGTCATCTTACCTAGTTGTATAAATTCAAATTGCTATTCATCTACAGTATATGGGATGGGATTCTTTTACAGTAGGCATCTGTGACTTGTTGGCAATAAATGGACAGCACACAATCCATTTGTTTTAAGATAATATATTCAAAACAAGTCAAACATATGTAAACAAATTTGTTTCACTACTGGTTATCAAAGTTGTATCTAAAGCTTTAAATACTCTTTCTTGTCAAAAGTCCACACAGGCTAGTTCAGTTACTTTAAAACTCAACTGATGTGACAAATTATTTTTCTCTACTCTGTTTCTTATTGCACAAACTGCGATAGATTCACAGTTACCACAGTTGCATCCTTTTCATCAAAGTCCACACAGCAGGTTTAATTACTTTAGAACACCCTTTGACAAGATAAATTATTCTCCTTATCACTTTAAAATATGCCCATTACAGCTAAACTAACAATTACATAGTCTAACTTCACTTTCATTTACATAACATTTTCTGACTTAATTCCACTTGCACTCACTTGTTCACCTATATATGTGTGTGTGTGTGTGTGTATATATATGTATTATATATATATATATATATATATATATATATACTATACTACTACGTACGTACGTACGTAACGTACGTAACGTAACGTAACTAACTTAACTA